TCTTCTAAAATGTTGACATATTTTTCAGCATTCTTGACATTGCTCATTAGGCAATCAACCGTTTGAAGTGTAGAGACTTCTCAATTGCAAAATTTGGATTTTCAGTTCTCCTATGTGGTGATTTTGCTTATTGACGTACCCATCCTATTGAAACTGAGCTAAACCATATTTACATCAAAATCTTATTTGTCAACCATATCGATAACAGTATTTTTTCTTCTTCTTGCATTGATTATCCAGCAATGAATGTTTGTGATCACAGTTTCCATTTTTCTCTATTCCTCGCAGTGTGAATTATAGTCTCTGTGTTGTGCATTCCGGTCATTGTCGAACATTTCGGAGCCACGACATCTTTTTTCAATCAATAGCTCTTCGCCCTTCTAATTTTCCCTCAATTATTAATTAGAGATATTTGTATTTATCATGCCATTTGACATATCCCAAATATACAGTTTTTCTCTTTTTAATTGTGGTACTTCCAGTTTATTTATTGGACTTGTTTTCAAAGTCCACCTCTCACTCCATACAAAGGCACCGATCATACGTAACATTTCACGAACCTCAACCTCAAGTTTAGTCTGAGCAGCTAAATACGCTTTTGAATTTTTGAAATCTTGTCTAGCTTGTTCTATGCAACTTTTAACTTTGTTAAATTCGTCCAGTTTTCAGACAATGATGTCCCCAAGTATTTGATTTTGTCTACTTTTTCTATTCGTGTATCATTAAGTATTAGTTCGGCATCTTCAATTTGAATTTGGTCTTCTTTATCTTTATATTCATGTCCATTGATATGCCATAGTGTATGCCATACTGTATGCAAAACGAAAATCGTTTTCAATGGTAACCACACCCAATGGCTCATGTGTTTAAATTTTGCAAAGAAAGAGATTTAGATTTTGAATAATAGTTTGCCAATGTCCTTGGGTTATTTCATAATACAGATTAGTGGTGGAACTGATATCCGGCAACTATCCGGTATCCGGCCTATACGGCCATTTTTTTTAAATCCGGCCGGATACCGGATAGATACCAAATATCCGGCTTTGGCCGGATATTAAAAATCTATTACTTAGTACTCCATCATTCACACGAATTAGTATCTATTAGGATTATTAGTTAAAGTATCCTCTTTTTAATGCAAAAAGTCGTTTTGAAAAATCACTTTCAGTTCTTGAGAAATAAATTTTTGAAATGATCAACAATTTTTTCGAATTTTGCAATTTTCGCCGATTAACTTAAAAATTCGTATAAAATCCATTTCTTGGAATGTTAATATGAAAATTTCCCAAAGTGTTAATAAAAGTTCCCTCTTTCCCATGAACCAACCTGTTTGGAAAAATAACTTTTAGTTTTTAAGAAAACAATATTTGAAGTTTTGATAAAATTTTCAATGTTGCAATTTTCATCGATAATTTTCAAAATTCGCTATAAAATTAATTTCTTGAAGGATCCTTATGGAAATATCACCAATTATTAATTGAAGTATCCTCTTTTTAATGCAAAAAGTCGTTTTCAAAAATCACTTTCAGTTCTTGAGAAATAAATTTTTGAAATGATCGATAATTTTTTCGAATTTAGTAATTTTCGCCGATTAAATTTTAAAAATTCGTATAAAATCCATTTCTTGGAATGTTAGTATGAAACTTTCCCAAAGTGTTAATAAAAGTGCCCGCCCTCTTTCCCATGAACCAACCCGTTTTGAAAAATAACTTTTAGTTTTTGAGAAAACAATATTTGAAGTTTTGATAAAATTTTCAATGTTGTAATTTTCATCGATAATTTTCAAAATTCGCTATAAAATTAATTTCTTGAAGGATCCTTGTGGAAATATCACCAATTATTAATTAAAGTATCCTCTTTTTAATGCAAAAAGCCGTTTTGAAAAATCACTTTTAGTTCTTGAGCAATAAATTTTTGAAATGATCGACAATTTTTTCAAATTTTGCAATTTTCGCCATTAAGTTTTAAAAATTCGTATAACATCCATTTTTTGGAATGTTAGTATGAAAATGTCCCAAAGTGTTAATAAAAGTGCCCCCTTTCCCATGAACCAACCCGTTTTGAAAAATAACTTTTAGTTTTTGAGAAAACAATATTTGAAGTTTTGATAAAATTTTCAATGTTGCAATTTTTATCGATAATTTTCAAAATTCGCTATAAAATTAATTTCTTGAAAGATCCTTGTGGAAATATCACCAATTATTAATTAAAGTAACCTCGTTTTAAAGTTGCTTTGTTAGTTAAATCAGCATCAAAAAAGTTCATTTTGTATCTCTGATCCAAATAAGTTGAGATATCTTATCAGCTTTCTTATTACTTTCATTTCGAACATCCGGTATCGATTTTGCGAAAAGCCGCAAAATCACTATCCTTTCCATCACTAATACAGATCTTTTTTTATCACTATTTTAAAGTGTTTTCGCACTCGATCGACGACCAACATCTTGAACACTTGATCATGTAATTTTCATCTTGTACTCTGTTATAAATTTGGCTGTTATTGCTCGAATAGTAGGCCTTGACGGTAGATGTACGCTCAATAATGCTGTATTTTATCATTTTCAACAAACAATTAAGTTTTAACTGAGTCTCGCCAATGGTTCATGAGTTAACAAGTTTTTTTCATACAGCTCAACAATTTTCGTCTTGTAAAATCGTGCTCTTTAGGACTACGCTTTAGAAAATATAGTAGTCATCAGGGCAATTGGGCTTAGAAAGCTCTTAAAATCTTTGCTACGGCACATATGTTTTTGTACTTTGTGTAGGGATACATATTGCCAGAAACTTGTAATACACGCAAAATGTTAAGGGCTTGTTTATCAATTTCTGATTAGACCAAATCAACTGTCAGAATTAGTTCTAGGTCGCCATTTTCTAGACTAGTTTCATAGAATAACACCAAGATGTAACACCTCGATCCTGTAATGAAAAATAACCTGAAGATGAATAGTCATGAAAATATTTCTCTAGGAGTTCATGAAATTTCTGCAGCTCAACTAAATTCTTCTGCAAACCACATAGACATAATCATCATCTTTTCAGATTGCTGCAGATACTCAATGCTTTGATGAAAAGAATATTTTTTCTACTTTTGGACACCGAAAGAGAAACCGAAATCACTTTAAGAATATTGCATTCTAAAGCTCAAGTTGTTTCTAAATTCAACTTTAATGATGCTGATTGCAAAATTTGTCAATCGTACTGATTTGATTGACATAATATACTGCTAAGATCCTAACACTTCACTTTTTTGGTAGACGACAATATTTAATATAATATTTTAAACTTTTATTTTTGATAAATACTTTTTTTTTTCTGTAACGACTATATATTAGCTAATTGAATTAAACCTTTAATGTGTTCAACAATGCTTTTTAATTGAAATCACTCATGAACAAAATAGTAACGCACTTCCACGTGTTTTGTTCGTTTGTGAAATTCAGGATTTTTAACAAGCTTTAATTCATTACAACATCATTCCAGTGAATTAGTTCTTTTGTACCGTTACTAGTTGAAACGAATTTAGCTGCAATGGCAGAAAGTGCAACTTGGGAAATATGCTTAACATTGTACTAATCACCTTTATATATTTGTCTTTTTTATTTTTGGATTTTTGAAACAACAACCGTTACGTTGGCACATATCATGTCACTATATGCATTGAAAACACATACTGCATATCTAAACACGTCTATTAAGTTATTGTGTTACATCATTATTATTAATTGACGTACTGTTTCATAACCTTCTCTTTATTATCACTTGGTTTTGTTTCACTATGTTTTGAGAAAAATTAATCGTCCTTCAAGGTTGAAGGATTTGAATAAATTCTTTAGTACCAAACAATAAAGATTTTAGGTGTATAAAAAAGTTTAAGGTAACCTCATTCACAAATTACACGTGCCCCATAAACTGGTACAAGATTTATCTCCTTCATTGGCTATTCCAAACAGTTCTACAGCTTAACCAGTTGGTAAAAATAACGTCTACAATAGCAACTATAGCGTTTTGTGTTTGGAATTTACGATCGCTAAGCGAACTATCCCACATTGCGTTGTTCTCTATGTTTATTGCGACCCGAGAATGTGTATATAAGATTTAACACTTGACGTTGTTTGAACATTGCACAAGATTCTTATGTATTTTAATAGAAACACTATCATGGTGTCAATCAAAAATGGGAAAAACTAACTAACATAATTAATCATGTTAAAAACTCCTTGCATTAATGTGGTGTCTCCGTCTCTTTTTCTCTTCTCTATGCATATGAAATGGTAATACGAAGTTGAAACAGTAAAGTTGCGTTGAAACAACGGGAGGGAAACAACGTCGTTGACGAATGGTGAAACGTTGCAGCGTTGTAAGGCTACAAATTTGCCTTTTGTGGTTGAAATATCTAATTTCCATTTTACACGTAAACCGTCGAGCTCGCCCACAGTTTCGAAATGGGAAAGGAAAATGGAAAATGGGCCGGGAGGATGGATTTCGGTCGGTTTACCCTCTTAAATGGCCTGGCTAACTGATTATTTCGGTGATGAGCCGTGACAGGTTTTTCTTTCGAGGAAAATTTACAATAGGATTTTCTAAAATCGTAGTACAATCTAAAAATGTGATTTATATATGCAAATTTATTTTTAATACCATACAGAATTGAAATTGAAATTTTAAATTGTTTGTTTTTGAAACGGATATTAATCTTTTTATTTAGTTTAACTTAGAATGAGTTTATATTGAAACTTGATACTGAAAGTTCGTATTGAAGGTCGACGATTTTTTGGACGTAGACAGTCTGGCTCCAAGAAACAGCCACGTGGTGTACAATATCGATTTTAGGGGCTGCTCTCCAGTTATACGCTCGACCACTTTCTAAAGCCTGACCTAAATTATTTATCTTTGCAATTTTAATCAATTATGTTCTTTAAATATATACCAATCACTTAATTAATATTATATATTAACTAAATACAATAAAATTAATAAAAATCTCTTAATGTTTTCAGGAAGTTTTTGTAACGGAGATTGTTGCGGACAGGAAGCAGAATCTTTATTGAGAAAACACGGACAGAAAGAGCTTGCGAAGATACTAAAAAGCTATTCGAGAAGTTTACAAGGATCTCTATCGACCATTTCAACGGCACTTCAAAGTAAGTAAAAGATTGAGTACTCCGTATCTTTGTTACATCTACTGAATCCAAATTGCGAACAACAATTTCATTCTAAATGCCACTCAATTAAACTCTGCTACGACACTAAAAGAGAGAAAGGGAGGGAAAAAAGTGTATCTTCGGGATACGATTTAACGAAGGCGTTAATTGCTTAATTTCCGTTTTATTCTCGCTCATTAAACTGGCTCCGGTTTATTCTTTTCATTCAGCATTTTCATTCATTCCGATTTGTAAGCAATTTTTGAACTAGGTTTATCAAAAAAAATTAAAAATTAAAAAAATACTTTTATGTTATTTGTGCAAATTAAACGTAATTATTATTTTGTTAAGGAAATTCCTATTCAATTCTATAGGAAAATTTAAAGCGTAAGATACAACTTTATTTAACATTATTGGGCTACGTTGTAAATAACAGTTTCAGTGTACAAAATAGATGAGAAATATAAGTCTCACAATCTAAGGATTTGAAAATATTAAGCTTTCAAACAGAGCCTTCAAAACCGCTACATAACTAAATCAACTAGGTATTCTCACCAGCTGAAGCCGGCTTTCTCCACTAACATTGCTTTAACTTTATAAATTTAACCTAGAGTTTAAAGTTTAGCAAACTTATTGTGGTTGTAATTTCCTCACGTAGTTTATTATAAAATTGTATGAAAATATGGGGATGAGTTTTTTATAAAATTCAATATTATTTATAACTTTTTATACAATTTTTCTTTTCTGAACTTCCTGACTTTTCTGTAATGGGAAAAAAGTAGTCTGTGTGGTGCGTTGCACTTTGTTGCATAATATTTTGTCATTATTGTTATGGTCTTTTCTGATCATTTTATTTTTCGTGTCAAACATCATTGAAGAGTAATCGTAAGTGGAAAGTGCAATCGTCATTCACTCAGAATTAATTTGCCATGATATTTTTTTTGTTACAAAGCAGTCTAGCAGATTTCTAAACTCACCTATTGTTATCAATCAAAATTGAAGATGTTGCAGTGTTTATTTTAATAGTTAGATCCTCTTTGACGGTTTAGAACATTGTTCTGTCTTGATCAAACAGTTTTGTTCGTATAAAATTCGTATAAAATCCATTTCTTGGAATGTTAGTATAAAAATTTCCCAAAGTGTTAATAAAAGTGCCCTCTTTCCAAAGAACCAACCCGTTTTGAAAAATTACTTTTAATTTTTGAGAAAACAACATTTCAAGCTTTGATAACATTTTTGATATTGCAATTTTCATCGATAACTTTGAAAATTCGCTATAGAATTCATTTCTTGAAGGATCCTTGTGGAAATATCGCCAATTATTAATTAAAATATCCTCTTTTTAAAGTTGCTTCGTTAGTAAAATCAGTCTTTTCTGATCATTTTATTGTTCGTGTCAACATCATTGAAGAGTAATCGTAAGTTGAAAGTGCAATCGTCATTCACTCAGAATTAATTTGCCATGATATTTTTTTTGTTACAAAGCAGTCTAGCAGATTTCTAGACTCACCTATTGTTATCAATGAAACTGAAGATGTTGCAGTGTTTATTTTAATAGTTAGATCCTCTTCAAACCCGTCAAGTTTGAACATTGTTCTGTCTTGATCAAACAGTGTTGTTTTCTTTTTCTTGCTTTTCATGGCTTGTTAATATAAGATATATCATCTGCAACCTTTGTTTAAATCTGCTAAAGCTTCTGCAACCCCAGTCTACTTTTCTTGGCAATTTGATTTCAATTTATGAGCTGTTTTAGCTGCATATCCAGTTTTCAAGAGATATTTTAGACCATAACTTGACTGGTATATTCGTAGGACTATCAACAATCTTTTTTAAAATTCTAAAATACTATGTGAGATATTACGAATTGGCGTCGAGTACTGCTTATTCCCTGGAGAGATAGACATACTAACATAAATATACTGAATGAGGACGAGATCAAGACATATAATCAGAAGGCATGGAGATATCTGGAAAAATTAATGGTCTAAGGAAAGGCAGAAGGCAGAATCAGGTATCTGGACCAGGCAAAAGAGATAATAGACACTCCGCTTCAAGGCGCACTTCTAGAGGCACAAGACCTAGCTAATTATGGAGGAATAAAGTAAAAGAAACATGAAATCACGACTTCTCAGTTATGAGAATACTACGAAGAAGAAGAAGATGTAAGATGTGTTAAGACTTATTGAATTAAAAGTGTAAAAATCTAAAATCTTTCAGCATGAAGTTAACAAATCGCGATAGTCATCTAGGGCTGAGAATGTAATTTGAAATATTTCGCATTTTAATGGAAGTGCTTTTACTTATTTCTTGGACTATTCTGCTGCCAATCTTATTACATTAAATTACTAAAAGCTTATTGTAGTTGAGCAGAAGACGTAGGAATATATAAAATATTTTTAGCAAGAGTCCCAAAAGAACTACATTTTATAGAAGCTAATTCCGAATGTAAGCAGCATCACGTTTCAGCATCAATGTAACCCACTTTACTTTTTTCACTTTTTTTTATAAGTTTTATTTATAAGCCACAAGAGTTAAATGACAGGGTTTATTATCCATCTCATCTTGCTGTATCTAAATGTGTCTAAACAGGTTTACATGATTCATTTAAGCAAATCTTAGCTAAATACTTCAGATATATCGAGATGGGATTTTTGGTCACGATGCCATGAGATTAAACGAAGTTTTGTCAAACGTCCATTATTAGATAGATGGTTTAAGAATCACATTTTTAGATTGTTTGGGTTCCTCCGACCCTAAGTTAGATGTTAACTCAACACTATATTATAGTATATCATTATAATACACTACATGCCAATTTTTTCGTATTCTACTTTTAATTTGGTTTATTTCTTAAGGATATTATCAGAGTTGTTTAAAACTTCCAATAATTAACTTAATTTGTATTAAATCCACTTAAAATTTGAAGTGCATCGATTTCAGTGAAGTGCATCAAATCGATAGCGTGTTGTATTATCAGCAACATCTGCTAATGACAAATCGTTATGCAAAATTCATAACATTTCTATAAATCTAATTATCTGGAAAATAACTATAAGGAAAACAAAATTTCATAACTTGAAGAACTGATAAACAACAAAGTTAAACCCACAAAAAACCGTTTGTTATATCAGAAATATGATTACAAATCTCAACAAAGTTATTCTATAATATCGAATTAATGAATAAGATATTCATAATGCCGTTATATAACTTATCCACATTACTCCTAGATACTAGAAGCATAAGAAGAATAAAAGAACATCTCTTTGACGACACTCATCTAAAACACCTGCGACTTTCATAGCTTTTTATTTACTTTAGTTGCATAGCTTCTAGTTCGCAAATGTTTTGTGGTTTTGTAAAAACGTCGAGTTTTTGCAGCTTTAGTTCCATTAGCAATAATTTGTTTGATAAATGTTATTACGGCGGATTCTATTTTATTCTTTATAACAATATGTCTTTTGCAATTTTCAATGAAATATGAAAAATGTCGGAAAGTTTGCGCAAATAGACTATTCATTGTAAGATTTGCAATGTGCACACTTTGTCGTGTTTGCTTTTCATAGCCACTCTTTTAATTCAAACTGTTTTCACAAAGACTTCAACTAGTTCATTGCAATATTGTAAATAATAATAATAATAATTTTTTTTCCGAAGCTTTTTCTATTAAAGCGATATTGGTTATTAGTTGTGTTATCTGACTATTCATGCAAGACTACACAAGTGTATATTTGGAATTGCATGTTTGATTTCAAACATTTTATATTTTATCTAATTTCTCACCTGTATGTTCTTTTTAATGACAGTGTGTAAATAAACATACATCACTGGTAGGAATTGCTGGGAAAGTCGAGAATCTGGAAATCGTAATTGTGCAAATATAAATATGCGCTGATATGCTGATCAAATAAAATCGAATACCGAGTTTATTTTTGAAATATCTTAAAGCATGATATCTGTTGGTAAGATAATACATCATTGATATCAATTTGCTGTTACGTACTCTGCATTCCCATCAAATTTTGAGAATCTCAATTTGTTGAATTTCCAAAGCTAAAGATGTAACTTTCGAAACAATACTAGCAAAATTATCAGTTATGTCGTCATCATTTTTAGTCATATAAAACCATTGGAGAGCCTTAACTTCCTATATCCAGCTTCGAATAACCATCTCAATTATCAATTACAACAGCAGTAAATTTTTGCAAAAACCTTCTATTTTCTGGACGTCTTGAAACTTTTTACTATCTGTTGGAATTACAGCTAACTTTGCTTCTTTACTTGTCACATAAAAAAAATAAACACCAAGACACTTGTGATTAATACAAATAATGCATTGAACTCACATTAGAAGGATTTGATGACCTCTAGCTATATTGGAAAAAAAAACTTATCGCCTCTAAAAATATCTCGAAACTATGACGACCAATAAGAATCCAGGCTAAGGTCGTTTAACTTCTAATAGAGGGTGGCATCAAAATTTGTAAGAGCACGCATTAAATTTCAAAACATATAAAATCGGAACTGAATATTTGTGAGAAACAACCATAAATGTGTTAATATTGAACAATTATTATAATTTCCTAAACATATCATTAAAATATATTTGTTAATATGCAATGACATTTAATTCATTTTTACACATTCGTATAATATTAACTTTATATTTAGATATCGCGATTTTCTTTGAAGACTGTCTGTCTGAAGATATTGTACTTTAATGTCTTTTTTATGAAGTATTGTGAGAGTAATCCAACTTTTATGTTATATTATTATTATTGATATTGGAAGCGCTTCGATAGCGAAGATCTTTAGCGCTCACCGTATTTATAATTGATGGAACAAATCAATAGACTTAAAAAATTCAACCAAATTAACAGGATTCGCGTATGCATCATCCAGACATGAGATAGTATGTAATTGTCTCTCGTTGGCATATAATTCACAGTCTAGTAGGATATGTATTACCGTGAGATGAACTTCACAGCCCAAACATGCAG